CCCCTCCGCCTTTGCAGCTCTGCCTCAGTCCCGGCGCCGTGCTCGCTGCCGCCCTCCCGCCTCCCCTCCCCGCTCAGCCCGGGAAGCCAGCCTCCCGCTCCGGCGCGTTCCGCCCGTCAGGGGGCCGCTTGCTGCCGTCATCACGTGTCTTCACGCGGGCTGAGTTTGCCTGGATTCAAGGCTCGGTTCCGGGCAGTTCGGAAACCGATTTTTCTGTAGGTCTCACCGCCTATCTTCCTCGTTCTCGGAATGCCAGGGTAGGCACTGTCTCCTAACCCGCTTCACCAGCCACGGTTCTGGGTCTTAGGGTGGACGCTTTTATTCCTGTAGTCTCATAAAGAATTTGGTTTTGCTTCTGCTCAAGTGTTACAGAAATTATTCACGAATGGGTTTCATTTTATTAATGATCCTGGAGGCTTGCAACGGACCCTTAAAAAAGAAAAATTGTTGTATCCATTGGATGAGAACATGAGTGTAAAGTGATTCTCCATTTATGGCAACAAACATGCAGTAAAACTTTTTTTCCTGTAATTGTTAAATTTTAAAATCTTCAATTAATTCAAAGATATGTACTTTGTATGCACATGTGTTCATTGTAACCATGTTTTTCTCAGGCCCTAAAGAACTCATGGATTGGCACTGGGTAGAAACGTCCCATCAGCCTGTCTTGATAAAAAATGTTAGTTTTTGAATTTTCACCCGAGTTATACTGACCATTTTGGAACATCACTGGAATTAGTGGAATAAATGCTGTAGCTTTGGTTCTCTTGGTAAATTAAGAGGCCATTAGAAATTTCTCATACTTAAGAAAAAAATACAAGACCACCTATTTTTTCTTTTAAAAACTCAGTCAGTTGGGCCTCCAGAGTCTTTTTTTTTTTTGAAGATCTTTTATACATGGTCTTCTCTTCTTTGGGATTTTGTTCCACTTTTTATTTTCGAATAATATTCAAATAATATTGTACTTACTTTCCAGATGCTCATAGGCCCCCAGAGATTTTCTTAGGCCTCTTCTTAAATCAAGCCTGACCATTGCTGCAGCTCCTGGTTTATTAGACTCAGAAAAACAATTTGAATAGAGTCAAATATGTTACGTTCTTAGAAAAATGTATCATGATGAAAAGACTTTTTGCCTGTTGGTAGCTCCTTTGTAAGTGTCTTCCAGGAAGTTACTCTATGGCATGTTGACTGCCACAGCCTTACGTAATTTCACATTTTTCTTTTAAAAGGTGCAAGAAGGAAATGATGCATACAGTTCAGCTTTATAAACCAAAGCAAGTTTGTACTTAAGATTAAAAACAAATAGAACTGTCCTCCTGAGCCTTTCCATATAAGGTAAATCTATTTGCATTTATTCTCGTAATACTGGGAAACTCAGGAGTGTCACACATAAACATCAGTACCTGCTTATGTGTTCAGAATCTAGCAGAAACAAAGCACTGAAATACTAAAACGACTGCATACAACAAATTCGTACATTTTTTGGTATATATTTTATTTCACTAACACTTTTTCAGATATATATATGTACATATGTATGTGTGTATATGTATATATATATATATGTTGTTCTCAACCTTATCTGATCCAATACTTGCTTTTTATAACAAATAGTTTGTAATGCCCACTTTACTCTTCTGAAATCAAAATCATAGTTTTAAATCTCAGTGGTGCTCTAAATATAAAATAAAGGAAGATAATTGTAATAAAGTATCAGCATGTAAATGCTCAAGTATATATATATATATATATATATATATATATGCTCAGAATATATAATGAAGTAATCAGTTGCTCTAGCCTTACATAGAATTACCGTGTATGCAGTAGCTCCAAATACAGATGTGTCACTGAAACTTAAAATTGTGTGACTAACATTTCAGTCAATGACATGATTTTACCAACTGCTGACCTCTTGGTAAAGTTCTGTGTAAAATGAAGTCTATACAACTGTCCTTTGATTTATATAATAGTTTCAATTCTGGAAAATTCAGTGCATATTAAAACTGTGAAAAAGTCCTTCATGATTATTTGTAAAATAGTGATAGGTTGTAGGCTCAGGTATTAATTATCTGAAGTGTTTACGTACTAGATGCTGGAGATTGCAGCATAATTCTTCCTTCTGGGGGACTGTCCTGCACATTGCAGGACATCTGGCATTCTAGGTCCTCATCACTAAATGCTAACAGTGTTCCATTCTTACCATTTTGATAATGAAACAGGTGTACAGTGCGTCTCCTCTGCTTCTCAGCAGCCAGTACTGCCCATCTGAGGACCTCTGATCTAGATGTCCCTGTTACTGTATTTCAAGATTTAATACAGGAAGGAAAGTAAAATCTCCAAATCATTTCTGTAGAATATTGGTCCTGAGCTTTTGTAATAATGATAGGTCGAGGGGGAAGCTAATTACATTCTTTAACTTTTTTAACCATTCTCTAATATTCCAGAATTAAGGTTTTAATGATCAGTGTTATTACAAATGAGAAAATAAAGAAGTATAGACTATCTGAAAAAAAGTCTTAAATGTCCATTATGTATTAATGTCAGAACTTATTTATTAGCTTGGCTCTTATTTAAGTTTACAGATAATGTTATCTTTTCAAATATCTTCTTCTAAAGGGTAATTTCTATTTAGCTAAAGTAAAATTTATTTCAATTTCTGTTTTACATTTTAATGCTAGACTCTTGGTAATCTAGATAAACAGGCTAAAGAGATTCTCATTTGTTCTCACATTTGCTCTTAAGAAAGTTATGAATTACAATAAAATATTCTGGGCAGGATATATGGGCAGGGAGTACGGAATTTGAACTGCTCAAATATTTCGATTAATAGGGTCAATATGTGCTTTACCAATTTTCAGAAAAAATTAAAATTCTGTGTCACTTAATGTTTTTATTCTGTTTCTTATGAATTCAGAAGGCACTTGGGGGACATCCAGAGCTCTCAGGATCATTTTCATCAGCCATCATTGCACTGATGCAGATGTATGATGATGACAAAGAATAACAGAAGTCATTTGAATAGCATAATTCTAAACAATGTGTGATCCAGCTCAAAAGAGCATCGCTCACTTCACCTCTGGCCCCAGCAGAGCTGCAAACCGAAGGCCTTGATGCCAGCCTCCTCCAATTCTTTTTATTTCGCTCTTGGACTTCCCTGTTTCCAATTTCTGCCCAGCTATTTGAATTCTCTCTCTTAGGCCCAGGAAAATGAGAAAGACGTTCTTCATTCCAGGGCAGGCAGATACTGGAAAATCCTTACGTCCTCGTCAGTTTCACTTAGCGCTGGTTCAGGGAAAGTTGACTATTTTATTGAATTGAAGAGCAACTGGATAATTTAAAAAATCCACCTCTAAGATGAATAAGCAGAATGCGGGTTGGGTAAGTGCTAGCTTAAAATCTTGAAAATGAGAAATGTTCCGGGGAAAAGGTGGATGCTGTTGTCTCTCTCTCTCTGCCTTGACGCAGTGTGCGCGCTGAGCTCGGGTCCGAGCATCGTGGGATCCCATGGGTGCGGCACTGACAAGGTCCGCACAGTGGACGGCTGCGGGGCACGGGGCTAGGGCCCTGGAAACTACCCCTCTCAATGAGGCGATACTGAAGGAAATTATTGTGTTTGTGGAGAGTTTTATCTGTAAACATCCCCAAGAGGCAGACTATGTTTTTGTAGAACCACTGGAATGGAAAACCCGTTTGGACCCCTCAGCCTTTGGACTGGGTCATGTTGTCAGGTAAGCCAGTGAATTGCTTCTAGAGTTTAATATCTTCAGCTGCACGTTTTTTATTGATTGGTTGTAGGTTTGGGGCAAGTCGCTTAACCTCTGTGAATCTCAGAAATCGCAGAATACCGGAGGCGCTCGGGTGGAAACTGAGGATATTTTGTTTGGCCAACACACTAAGTTTTAAATTTGAATTTTCTTTCCACAGGGGATGTGTTCTCCAGGTCCCCACACTCCCAACGTTTGCTGTTGCTTTGTGACTGGTCTTTCCACTCCTATGAACTGCCAGATACCACTAGGCATTGATTTTGTGATCTCGGATATAGACAAAATCCCTTCTGATATTTAAATCTGTAAAATCTATGGGGTGGCAGATGGAGAGTGGCACATTTTGCTTAACATAAGGGAGAAACTTCCTAACAATTAGCATTGTCCTCAAATGAGAACTTCCAAATCTGAGATTTAAAAATAAAATCCTATTTCCACCTCAAACAATGGGCTACCAGTTTATGTCTTTTGAACATAGCTAAATATATATCTTATGTAAATTACATACGTTTATATAACTATATTATACTTATATGAAATATTGATATATAAGTATAAATTACAATTGTAAATGGTAAATTTATATAAATTCATATATACTTTTTTTGGTCACGTCCTCAGTTTATGTGTCACTCCAGGCATTCTGATCCTCTTTTCTGTATCTCTGTTCCTCTTTGGTTTTGCCCATGAACTTTTTTTTTTTGCAGTACGCAGGCCTCTCACTGTTGTGGCTTCTCCCATTGCGGGAGCACAGGCTCCAGATGCGCAGGCTCAGCGGCCATGGCTCACGGGCCCAGCCGCTCCACGGCAAGTGGGATCCTCCCGGACCGGGGCATGAACCCGTGTCCCCTGCATCGGCAGGCGGACTCCCAACCACTGCGCCACCAGGGAAGCCCTCCTCTGAACTTTTAAAGTCTGATCTTTTCAAAAACAGCTCTCTCTCTAACTAGCCAAAGTTTCCTATAGATGCCTTTTCCATTTTTTCCCTTTGGGATTATTTGTGAGAATAAACTCAGAATTTAATTTTTAGAACTGTAAAACCATTCTTGAACTGTATTTCAAAAGCTCTTTAGTTCTGGTATCATGATCTATTTTCTCTCTGAATTTTCTGAAATCTTTTTTTTTTTTTTTTTTTTTC